CTGAGAAATTCTAACATGGAGACGTCAGACAGAAGGCGGAGGGGAGCCTGAGGAGGAGCCTGAGGAGGACTAGTCGGTGAGTAGGGAAAGCGCCAAGGGAGAGGCTTCCGTGGGCCCCGGAAGGAGGACGTTTCAAGGAGGAGCGAGTGACTAAGCCTGTCAGAGACCACTGAGAGGTCAGATGAGGCCAGAGAACTCACCGCCCACTTGTTGCGGGCAGGTGGGCGAAGGCCTGATTTTGATGTAGAGCTGGGGTTCTAACAAGCTCGCGCTGTCATGGGCGTGAAGGGAAAGTGCTGTGTCGGAGCCTGGGTTGCTTTGGAGACAATGTGGAGCAGGTGACTGAGGACTGACACGGGGTCAGGTGCCCACCTGTCCCTTGGCCTGTGTTTGAACTTGGTGGTTTGAGGAGTGAGGCTCTGAAGCCAAAAGAACAGTTTTCATTGGAAAGTCACTCAGGGCATCAGCAACAGCTTATGGGGTGTAGGGCCGAGCAGGACATGGGTTTAAAGGGGGTTATGACCCCAGCTCTGCACCCCACTCCATTACTGTAAGTGGCAAACGGGATACTTTAAAAAGAAATATCCTATATATTATAAATATCACATGCATTCTTAATATATTATAAACAAAAATTATATAAGTAAATAATATATAAATTATTATGTATTTTTTGAACTTGACATAAATGAAATCATGCAGTATATAAGAAAACCTTTTTGTGTCAGATTTCTTTTGTTCAATGTAAAGACAGATTGACCTGTGTGTGTGTGTGTGTGTGTGTGTGTGTGTGTGTGTGTGTGTGTAGGGTTGCTGGGTCACATTCCATTTTTATGAATAAACCACAGTTTATCCATCTTCCTGTTAAAGGATGCCTGGGCTGTTCTCATTTTGGATGCTATTATGAGAAAAGTGTCTGTGAGCACGCCTGTATGTATCTTTTGGTGGACTCGTTGTATTTTGAAGTGATTTTTTTTTTTTACTGGAGCTAAGAAAATCTATTGATTTTGTTATACTTATTTAGTACTTGGCCATTGTGCTGAATTCTAATAACTTTTCAGTTCATTTTTCTTGTGACACATTTGTATCAGATATAAAGTTTTCACCTCAAGTAACAGAAACCCTAACCCAAATTGGATCAAGGCGCAAATAGTACATATTTGCCCCCATGACTGCAGAGTCCAGTTGGGTCTACCTTCAGGCAAGGTGTGACCCAGAGGGCAGGGTGTCCTCAGGGCCCATCTCCATTTCCCTGGTCCCTCCTGGCTCTGACCTCCTTTGTGTGTCACCTCTGTCTTATCCTGGCTCCTCCTCGCAGTGGCGGTGACTGCTGCAGCAATTCCAGAACTCAGGTCCTCACCAGTGACAGCACCCAGAGCAAGAGGATGCTCTTTGAAGGACACCTGTAAAGAGCAAGGAGGCTTCTTTCCCCAAGTCCCTCTTCAACACTGCCTCGTATCTCATTGGTCCAAATTGGGTAACATGCCCACCTCTGAGCCAATCAGAATTTTGTAATCGATAGGATAGTGTGCCCTGATTGGCTTATCCTGGTCATCAAGGGAGGGATCAACCGCACATAACCACATGGCTGCCACACAGTGGGGCAGGGGTGAGTTCCCAAAAAGAATAGGGGGGAAAGCTTCTGATTGAAGATGGAGATGGAAGCTGGAAGAGCAACTACACAATGTTTATTATGACAATTAGATGGCTATTGCTTGTCATGATTATTCATTGCCTCATTCTGACAGTCCTATATTTTTAGTTCTGTCTCCTGTCTCAACATGTCAGCTACAGCATAGGGATTTTAAAGTTTACATGGAATGATGAAAATGGTTTTGAGCTTTATGAGAAGCTTTGGAAAAGATATTTATAGACATAGAGGGGTGGAGGGAAGGAGTAGGAAGCAAGTGCTTTGCAACATTTGAGGCATGATATATAGACGCTCAAGACCAGTCTGATGGTGAGGAACCTTGGAACAAAGGGATCAAGCCAAGAGATGACTGACATGGACTTGGCAATGCAGGAAACTAGTTTTCTATTGCTGTGTCACAAGTTACCAAAAATTTAGTGGCTCAGAACAGCACAAATGTATTATTATCTCACAGTTTTTGTAGGTCAGAGGTCCAGGCACAGATGCTGGGCTCCCTGCTTGGGGTCTCGCAGGCCTGAAATCGAGGTGCCATCTGGGCTGCTTTCTCCGCTGGCGGTTGGGGTCCTCTCCAATTTATTCAGGTTGTTGACAGAATTCAGTTACTTGGGTATTTGTGGCTGTAGGATTGAAGTCCCATTTCCTTGAGTGACCGTTGTTGGCTGAGGTCACTTTCAGCTTCCAGAGGCCGCCCTTAGGTAGCAGCTGCACAGCCCTCTCACAGCATCCCAGCAGGAGACCGTCTCTCTCCAGCCCGCTGATGAGTTTTACGTGGCATAATGTCATCATCGGTGTGGCTGGGCCATTACATTCGCAGGCTGTGTGCACTCTTCTGAGGAATGAGATGATACAGTACATGCACACCAGGTGGGGGCTGGGAGTGGAATTCTGGGGGGCAGGGGCACTCACTGCCCCAAGGCTTATGGCTCACAGGCGCCCAGGCTTGTTAAGTGAGGGCTGTATTATGATCATTCTCCATATTTTATAGGCGAGGCTCTGAGGCCCCCACAACTTCTGCGTTCCCCAGGACACTGTGGCACTTGGCACTCCTCATGGATTACCTGTCAGTCTCCGTTTTTCTCCCACTTTGCCTCCACAGTGGGAGGGAGTCCCGTAAATGTCTTGGCAGGTTGGCAGAGTTTCTTCATAAGATATTAATCACCTCTGCAAAATAGTCAGACCTTAGAAAACTAAGATGATACCATAGATTCGATAGCCCTTTATGCTTTCCTTTGTGGAAGTCCCTAAATCAAATCGGGGTTAAGAATATGTGCAAAGTTTCAGCTGGGATGTTCATCACAACTTGTTTGTATAACCCAAACTCTGGAAACAATGTAACCATTCAACAGTAGAGACTAATTAGGTTAGTTGTAGTATGCGCATGCCCTGAATATTATACATCAAAAGGCAAAATACAATCATATATTTGTCTACCTGGAAAAAAAATGCTGGTGTAATGCTGTGTGATAAAGGCAGGTTATAATTCATTGGGTATAAACCCATCATAAAAAGAAAATATATGTTCTTATAAGTGGCACATATACATAATATATGCATATAAAAACATCTAGAAAGGTGTGACCAAAATTGTCACCTATGGTTGTCTCTGTTGGAATGGGGAAGTATTATGGGTAATTTGAATTTTTTATTTTCTTGTGTGTGTTTGAGAGGGAGGTTCTTTACTTTCTGATCTTTAGGCACCGTGTAATGAATTTGATTGAATAATCGTAGAAAAGGGAAAGAAAAGTGTTTCAAGTCTCCACTCGTGCTAACACTGCTTGACCGTTTCAGGTGATTGTGAAGACAAGAACGGAGTATCAGCCCGAACAGAAGAACAAAGGAAAGTTCCGGGTGCCGAAAATCGCCGAATTTACGGTCAGTTTCTTGATGGTGTGACAGGAAGGGCAAAGGTAAGGCCGGCTTCAGCCGGCTCAGACACCTGGTGCTGTGGAGCAGGTGCTGCTGGAGAGTGGAAAACGGTGTGGGCTATTTTGGGAGGATAGCTTGAGGCCACCCTGTCTGGGGCACTGCAGCTAATCAAATAAGAAAAGCTCAGCCTCTTGAGGGCGACTGTCTCTCCTGCTCTGGAATGTTCAGATAATTTGATAATTGATAAATGTGTCTTATTTCCTCTTGTTCCTCCTTTCCCCATCTCTCTGCCTTTCCATCACGATCTCTAGGAAAAGTGATGAAAATGTGTAAAGAAATTCAGGTTTTAGTCCATAGAGGGTTGCAACAAAATACAGTACAAACTAAGGGAAAGAAAAGCTGAGTTCTTAGCGGTGAAAGCCAGATGGCTGACTTTCTGTTTCTCGGTGGAGGGGAAACTCGGAGCACTGACACATATATATCACGGGGGTGAGTTGCTGAAGGAGCCGTGAAGCGTGCACATGAGGATGTATGAGGAACCTCAGGAATTCACTTAGGACCTTAGCGGCTGAGGAGAGCACAGCTTGTGCAAAGGCCCTGAGGCTGGAGGGAGGCTGGCCCCAGCACTAAGTAGGAATAGGGCAGGTGAGGCTGGGCTGTAGGAGGGGTGTGGGGAGCAGGCAGCGATGCGGCAGGAGAAGCAGGCAGAGGCCAGACAATCCCAGGCTTTGTAGACTGTCTGGGGGAGTTTGGGTTTTATGCTAGAAGCATAAAGGGAGCCCCTGAAAGACTTCACAAAGGGAGAGACACTACTGAGTTTGGGTTTTGACCAAAGCACTGGCTTTTATGTGGGTGATGGAATGTAGCAGTTAAGAGGGAGTGTGGGGGAGACTATTAGCTTACTGCAGTCGTCCAAGTGAAAAAACAATAGTGGTTCAGATAGGATGGTGAGCAGATAGACAGATGCGGGCCAGCCTAACAGATATTTAGGAGGTAAAATCGCCCTGGAGGCAGCAGAACAGGGGCCCTGTGGATGGGTACGGGTGCAGCCTGGCCGGGTGTGAGCCCTGTTCCGACCTTATGCCAGACATGAGGCCACAGCAGGGCAGTAAACCTCACTTATCACATGGAGGCAGTCGGAAGACTGCTGTGAGGGTGACACACAGAATACGTGCAAAGCGCTTGTCTCTGTACACGGCACACACACAACTAATAGTGGCTATTTTGTGTCACCTGCGACTGGGGGCTTTGAAAGGGAAAACAGCCCTTGGTGGGTTATCCGGGAACTGGCGTGTATACGTGGATAAGCATACGCGTCTGTGTGTGTCCCTGTCTTTCTCCCTGCTACGTCTATGTTCCACAGCTGGGCGTGTGAGCCTGAGAGGGAATGTGGCAGCTCTGTGGGCACCCCCCCGAATGTGGGGCTCCCCTGGACACTGACCCCCTCTTTGAGGGCAGGGATGGACCTTATTCTTGGCTGTCGCATCAGTGTCTGGCACACAGTGTGGGCCCAGTGAACGTGGACTTGGCCTGGAGTGCCTGCCGGTACCTGTGAGAACCAGCAGGTGGCTGTGTGGGGAGGGCAGGGGATTCTGGTGCTCACGTCTGAGTCCTGGGCCGGGGAGTGAAGCTCACCTGTCCTCCTGGCAGTGGAGACCTTCAGAAATAAGCCCAGGTTCACATACAAGAATGTTTATTGCAGTATTATTTATAAAGTCAAAGTATTGGAAACAATGCTAGACTTTCAACTCGCATGATTCCGGAAATAAGACCATATCTGTAGGATGGACTATTTTTAACAGTTTCCTAAGAATCTGATGAGAGGGTTTCATCTTCTTTTTATTTTCCTATGCTTTCCAAATTTCATATGAGCATGCATTGTTTCAATAATCAGGGGGGAGAAAAAGAATTACTTTTAAAATTTTCTCATTTTACCAAATAGAATGTTATAAGTTTTTTATGACATTATTCCTTATTTAGTAGTCATTTAAAATGATGGCTATGAAGACATGTAATAATTTGGGCAAATGCTTCATAGAAAAGGTTGAATGAAAAAAGCAGAAATTAAAATTGTTTGTTTTCTGGGATGGGATGAAAAAACCATAAGTGCACAGAGGGAGAAGAACATGGAAAGAAATGTATCAAAATGCCATTTGTGGCTGTGTTATCAGCAGTGGTGTGGGACCACGGTTTTGTTCGTTTGTTGTCTCTTCTTTAGCAACTTTTGGTGATGTGGCTACTGTTTTATCATGTTTAGTTGTCGTGAGCCTCTGAGAAACTGATATAAAATGGGAAATGGCTCAGAGCGGCGATGTGACCTGCTCACCCAGCCAGCAAATGGCAGAGCCAGTGCTCAGCACCAGGCCTGGGCAGCCTTTCTGCTCAGCCATGTTGCCTGCAGCTGCCAGCTGCCAGTTAGAACAGAGGCGAGTCAGGTATGAGAAATGGAGTGGCTTGCTCAGGGTCCAGGGCTGGCGGAAGTCCCCACGCAGCTCGACTCAGTTCTGGGGGTCAGGAAGAAGAAGGGCGTTGGATTTGGCGACAGCCCCTTGTCAGCATTGACTGTCAGGTGTGGGTGGAGGGCCCTGCCACTTGGAGCAAAATGAGAGAAATGGAGCAATCCCTTTGCTTATATAAAGCTGTGAGCATTCGTTAGCAGCTTCTTTTGTGTTCTTAAAGAGAGCGCAGCCTGGCCCCGTGGAGGAGGCATCTGCTGGGGTGAGGGCAGACATTGGGGAGCAGACTGGTGGCAATTGAGAAGAGCCTGAGATCTGCGCGATCAGCTGCAGCGGGGCTCGGGGCTAGGCGGGCTGTTACGGAGGTGGAATTTGCAGGACTTGTTGGAGAAGCAGAGAGTCAGGGGGGCTCCTAGGTGTTTGACTTGGCTGACTGGGCCAGGAGGACACCATCCGCTGAAGTGGGAGGCTGGGGGGGGAAATGCATTGAGCGTGAGGTGCCTGGGGGGTGCGGGGGACAGATGGTGATCTGACCGCCCTTGGATGTCATTGGTCTGGAGCGCAGGATAGAGACTTGGGCTGGAGAGCCAGAGCTGGAAGTCAGAGGTTCCAGTTGGTCTTAGAGAGCATGGTGTTGGGACCCCTCCAGCCTATTGCTCATGGCAGAGGAAACCATGGGGACAGCCATGGGGACAGCCCCTCATTTCAGTACCTTCACAGAGATGGAACAGCTCATGACTCCACCTTTCAAAGCTGACCAGGAGAGAGCAGCTCACAGCAATTATGCTGTGAGAGAGAATGAGAGGAGAGAACGGGATGGGAGGGGTGAACTGAGAAAGACTGGCTGAAAGAATTGCCTGGAATTTTTAAAACCAAGAAGGCTCTCGCAGTCATTGCAGAGGGCCATAAATGTGAACGGTGATTCACTGGGCTTATCTGAGAAGAGGGGAGCATGCAGAGAGAAGCCCCTTCTTTCTTACTCCTGGGGGCTGGGGTTCTTCTGCTGCTGATTTTGCTGTGGAGGGTGCTCGTGGCATGGAGGGGACTGGTGCATCTGGCCACTCTCTCAGACCTGGTTGTCCCCAGGCTGGTGTCAGAAGGAACTGAGTGTTACATTTGGAGGCTGTTTGTGTCAAGCTGGGGGAACTCCTGGGCTCTGGGGCTGGACTCACCTGGGCAACTCAGATTGTGTCCCTGTCACCTCTTAGCTTCATGATCTTGGGATAGTCCCTTCACCTCTCAGCTCCTGAGTCCTCATCTGTAAGCCAGGACCCACTCTTGACATAACAAGTAGTGTTGAGTCCTTGGATGACCATTTCATGACCTTCCTGTTCAGATCCCTTTCTTCCTCCTGGGATTTTAGCTTCTTGACTAATCAGCCAGGTTTTGTCTGTTGGCTGAGTCAGACCTGGGCCCCCTTTCCCTGGGGACATGGCTGGGAAAACCCGGAGGAATTGTTCAAGGGGCAGCCAGTTTAATGTCAGGATTCATGGGTGGCCTCTGGCTCTCAACAGAGACCCCTGGAGCCATGTCTTTGATTACTGGGGGGTAAGCAATATTTTTTGGTGGGCTATTTCTCAACATATCAGCTATAACACAAATAATCCTAGGATCTGTTAAAAATGTTTTTGTATCAACTTGATACTCTGAGTACTGTCCCCATGTTACAGGTAAGGAAACTGATGCTCGGAGAAGTGAAGTGACTCCCAGAGCCACTGAGCCAGGACCTGTCGGAACAAAACATGAACTCAGCTCTGTGGTTCCATCTCCCGCTCTCGCTGCCACACCCCAGTGCCACCCGGCCACGTCCCGGCCACGCTGTGGCCTGCCTGCCTTCTTTCCGGCCTTCCTGTTTTTCCTCCCCTTTCTTCCTTGTCATTGTTAGAAGACCAGGCGCGGCCTGTCCTTGCTCCTCGGGGTCCCCGCGTCTGCTCCCTGGTCCTCCATTCCAGCACCATTTACCCAGCGTCAGCATAACTGAGTTACCTGCCGTGTTTCCCCCTGACTTGAGGCCGGGTCAGTGTCCTCTTCGTCTTTGCCCCCCAAGAGCCTCGCCAGCACGTGGCCACCTGGGCATGGAAAGATGTCTGTAATAACTGAGCAGAGGGGTGAATGAGCAAACAAAAACTCCCCGAGCCTGACGGAGAAACTCTGCAGTGATAAACACCAGTGCGCTGGCTCCTCATTTCAGTATCTCTGTTTAAAATCGGGGCCCTGGCTTTGCTCCTAAGCCTCTAGCGGATGCACAGCCTCATAAACGTCTTCTTCCCGATGCCGCTTTCCTAGGGAGGTGAGACCCCCATGTACAGCTTTGCTGTTTGCTTCTGCCCGCCTTCCATTGGTGGGATTCTAGTATTTGCTGGCAGCAGCAAATGGACATCAGAGATTTTACTTTATTATGCCCTGCCTTGGTTTTTATTGCTCCCCTCTTTTTAAAACAATTATTTGAGGAACATTTTAGGTAAGTTGTTAAAAATACTGCCCACGGGGTTAGGAGCAGGGGCGCTACCTAGTGCAGAGAGAATCTGCACGTGAGCCCCTGGCCCAGCA